TGTAGACACATTGTAACATATTTTCAAGATAGGGATAATATTAATGATGATGATAATGACGATGGTGACGAAGATTTTTTGTTTATTATTATTATTATTATTATTATTATTATTATTATTATTATTATTATTATTATTATTATGAATGATGAGGATGGTGGTGGTAGTGGTGGTAATGATTATGATGATTTGGCTGAAGATGATGATAACGGTAAACATAACAGCAATGATGCGGCACATTTTATTTCGTTAAAAACGGAACTGCAGTAATTTTGTTTGAAGGGGTCTATAGAAATGAGGTATTGTAGACAGAGCTTATTTTAGTAATGACCTACGATGACACGGCATATTTAATTTATATTATACCGACCTATATAGAGATATTACTATAAATGCACACGATTCTTAAAAATAATTCAAAAAATTAACATAAACTTATGCCTGAATGTCTGTTTGTCGTTGGAAAAGAATCGTTACGACGGGATATCTGTCATTGGTATTGCTTCTAATAATCGAAAACACCTCATAACATTTTAATTGTAGGAATATATTGTTCGAAAAATAATTATTCTACCTACTGTGGTTGATAGGATAATGGTATTTATTCCATCAAAATTCATTTTAAAAAAACCCCATAAAACATGGCTGCCAAAATGCTGAATTACGAATTACGTTTACAAGAACATTAACTAACAATAAAATAAAGAAAAATTACAAAAACCAAAAAAAAAAAAGAAAAGGAAACCACTACAATGAATGTATAGATAAAATTGTTTGAACATACTTTTGTTTTATTGGCATAGGCCTATACATTTTCGTTTAATTACAATACTGAAACAATAATAGGCCCTATTAACGAATTCTAAGTGAAAACGGTAATTCTTAAAAACATTACATGCTCACTGCCTATTTTAACTTGGTTTTAACATTATATTAATCTTTATTATTATCTTCAACATTATTGTTATTATTCTTAGTTTGTTATTAGACCTACTGTATCCATATTGACAAATTAGCAAAACAATACAAATAAATGTTAAATTGTATTAAATGTCAATAAAATCTTTGCGGTAACGAAAATCTTGGTATATTAATATCAATCATCATCTGTTACATTATCGTGACGAATGTGTCGTATGTATTGCGAGATTTCCTTTAAATTTAAAGGGTTCTCAGTTTATAGGTCACACTTAAGCCTGACCAGACTAGAAAGGACATTGAACCTGTTCACCAGTTCTTAAGCATGACTTGGGCCTATTGCTAAGTGGGCTTATCAGGTCTTTAGAGAATTGTATGTTTCTGATTGAGAAGCGAGTAAGTTTTAATAGTTATACTGCTGACTTTTTTTCTATTAAAAACATTTTTAAAGTATCAATCACTTTTGACATTAAAGCTATTGGGACAACGATATTAAAAAAATAACGACCCTTGATATAAATATTTATCTATAAAATAGGCCTACATAAGTTATGTACTTTATTTCAATAATGAAGACAAACTTTTGCTATTCTAGATATTAGAGTGCAGCTTTTAATTGAGTGTGTACTGTCGGGGTTGAACGAACTCACTACAGCATGTCAGGATTGCGCATGCCTTGAAGGCAAATATTTCAAAACACACACACTCCTCACATTAAGTTAATTTCATGAGGTGAATTATCTAAACAAATACATAAATTGAGCCTGAAAGGGGAAAAATAATCAAAACTGTAAATTATTTTTCAATTACAAAAATCTATTATGCCTTATAGCAAAATTTATAGACAGAATATTATATTTTAATAATAGGCCAATTAAAAAGCCTAATTATTTAATCAGATATTAAAATTAAGTCATTATACATTAATAATTATTTTACAATAATTCGGAGGCAAACCTTAGGAAATTAGGAAAAAAATAACATTAATACTTTTTTATATTATTATTTTATGATCATATTAATTAGGCATATACCTACATTATGAATTAGGCTATTTTAATACATTATATAAATCCTAAATATATTATTTCAAATACAGCCGAAAATATTTTCAATAATTCAATTACATTTTCCAGCTAATCGTTTTACACCGGAGGACACATTTTGTTCTATCTGTCGCGTAAGTTTTAACCACAGTTATCCATATCGTCTGCTATACCAAAATGCCCGCGAATGTGATAGCTCTTTAGGTGACATCACTGTCAGACCACTGCTATGATCTCTTCAACTTGAATTTAATACCTCACCGTCAAGCAATCTACATCGCCAACGGCTGGTCGCGTTCTACTTTAAACGTCCAATACTTATATTTTGCGGCCTTCTCCCTAGTTTGTATACAGTTATGCACACGTAAACACAAATATCCTAAGTCCTGATGTCCGAGTTTTTGCAGTACCACAGGCGAAGTTGCAGAAACTGCCGGGGGACGTTTCGAAAGTTGTCCGTCGGATAATCGGCATGTTTCTTCATTTAGACAGATATAATATGACAATAGGTGAAGCTAACGTCGACTTGAAACAACAACAGCGAAGGTCATGAAACTCCAGGCTGGTTATTTGCACCCACACGTTCGCCAGGTGCATTCGGTACTCAGATCTTTTTCGCCCTCACCTGAGTTTGGAGGCCCGATGTCCGGACTTCAAGGTCTTAAACGCATGACCGATAGGGCAGGGTGAATAACACTTGAAACGCCCTTCTTGCGTATATATATATATATATATATATATACAAAGTACATTATATTAATAATATCTTATTGTCTTTTGTGTGCATTTTGTTTTTGGGAAACCAATTTGGTGATTTAGTTTACTTTTTTTGGGAATTCTCTCTCACTGCTGTTTCCCTTCCCCTTCATCTGTTTTTGTGCCTTCTTTTTTCTTTGTATCCCTGTTATTGTACCATTGTGAAAAATTAAATTAAATATATTATATTACACTATATAGTTATATCACATCATATAATTATCATATTATAATATTAGGCATAATATTATATTATTTATAATCTTTAGCAGCAAAATATTATTTTTTTTTGTTTATTCATCTTCAAAAAACATGACAAAAATATTCAAAGCAAAAGGAAAAGGAAAGTAAAACATTAGCCATTCCTTATTTATAACATTCTCATTTCATTTTTAAAAACATTTTTTCTCTTGTAAATATCATTCTAATTCTGTGGAAGTACTTTATTTTAATTTTACGTTAAACTCAATAGTAGTTGGTATAACCTCCTTTACTTTAAACAGAAAAACTTAGAAATGAGTAATACAAGGTAGAGGTACATCCGATTCTATGCATATTTTCAGTTAAAATTCAAGCTAATTACAATATTTAATTTATAACATGTTAGTATCTAAACACACAATCCACAGAAGATACAAAATATTTTCTGTGTTGCTCCCGCAAAAAAGTATACTAAAATGAACTATGAAACAAAATATTATAGGCCAATATATTCTACGTCAGTCATGAATACAATCCAATGAATAATATTGATAAAGATGACGTAGGCTAATTGTAGATTAAAGATTTCGGATATATAGGCGAAGATTAAGCGAAGATCACACATATAGATTTGACAGTCCATTGTACCCTTGTTAAGCCATTATCTAAACGGTTCTAACACCATCCATCAAGTAAGGCAGGCTGGTGTAATTTGACGGTGACCCTTCCCTTATTTGACTACCGTATTGATTGTGCTGATGCCAATCGACACGTTTATTTGAACATTGGTTAGAAATGTTGTACATGTTTGGAAAATCGTGTGACAGGCTGCTCCACTTGTGTGTGATCTGCTACAGAAGCACGTCAATCAGTGAAAATATGACATCAATTATTGATGCAAAAGAATAATAATTTGATTTGATACTCCAACCTTAGCCGACGCAGCCTGATGCTGATAGATAGGTTCAACTATATACTTCGAAATATGTTTTTAGTTAAATTTTAAGGTGCAAAACTTAGCTGCTGATTGAGGATGTAGAAATCTTTATTCTTTTTTAGAAAATGTCAATTTCATATGTCAATCGGCTCCCATCTTATCAAGAGATCGGCTTATCAGGAGATACGATGGGGGCATACTTACAAAATCCAATTTACTATTTACATAGGCCTATTTCCTAAGTTATAATATTGACACATAATGTTAATATCAATGCCGGAAAGTTTAGGCGTCGGCGTTTATCCATTTTAGGCAACGAATCTTTGTTTTATTTCTGACATCAAGGTGAAAAAGGTGTTGGCTAGGGTCAGAAGATTTGCACGTATTCGATTCCTAATAATCGCTTTCAAAATAAATACCCAGGTAGTAAAATATTTACACTGAAGCCAGTAATTTATTATATCATTACAATATATTCGGCTTGTTAAACACTCTACACGTAAAATGCGTTTTAATTTTTGAAAGAAATAAAAGAAATTCGAAAGTGGCCGCTATATTAATAATAAAATGGTGTAGAAAATTGCAAAATCGTCGTTGAAACACTACAAAAATAGACTAAGATTAAGATAAATCACACATACTGAACTTTAGCAAACGACAAACAAAACCTAATTGTAAGTTATAAATGTATAGCATGTATCAAATATATTGATATTATTTTTTTAAATATAAGGAATTGATATTATTTTTTTAATATAAGGAATTAAATTATAGTAAGTATCAATCATATAGATATATAATTCTTATTTTTATATGTTTTTATTAGAATGCATGTCATTATGAATAATTATATTTTAAAAAGGTAAAATATTAAAAACTAAAACATGTAAAGTTTAAAATTTCTATTAGATATATTTTTTAATTTCAGCTAGAGATAAAATGCAGTCCTAACATCGTTGACAAGACTTCCAACATAGTCGACACAATTTTTTAAATAAGAACCAGCAAAATTTTTTGGCGAATTTCAGGCTCAAAATATTCTTATTTTGTTTTTATGTTAAACATTTTTCAAACATAGAAAATTATTATTGTACAGTAGTATACACTGTACTAGAATTTAGGTAAAAGTGGCTCCGGGAAAAATGGTCACAAATGACAGGTAGGTAAACCTACTGTACTGTACTACATAGGGTATACATAACACATGGCCTAAGGTACAGCTATAATTTTGTGGCTTTTCTATTTTTTTTAAAAATAAAAATTTCATTTGACATTTTAACTCAACCTAAATTTGTTCATATGTTGTTCTTAATTTTTAAGAAATTTCCGCTTCAGTGTTCTTAAAAAATGTGTTCTCATAACAAAAAATGTGTAATCCCTTTTGAACTGTATTCCTAACCACAGATGTGTCTATATGCCTTACAATGTGTTGATCAACATCAGTTTTAATACAAAAAGCATATAGATATTAATAATTATATTTAACGAGGTACCGTAGAGTTGAGCATCTAACATACTTCTTTTCCTTAAATGGATGATCATAATAATAAACAAAAGTTACAAAATTACAAGGATGTTAACACTTGAGGTCGCTCTTCTGTTTTTCATTAATTTGTTGATTTTTGTCGCTCTCTTTAGCTGATTTGTTGTATTTCAAAAATAAGTATTTACAAAATTAATTAAGGATATCATTACCTACAAAACATAAATAATATACACATCTAGATGTGTATAAGAGACAGCTATTATGACTGGGATAGATTTCTATCAGCCTAAACACAAGGTATTTAAGTCTATCGTAGAATATTTTCAAAAAATATATAATAAACTTTTAAATAGTCTCACTACATATATAGGCCTAGATCAAACTTATTTATTGTAACCATAGTTATTTATTTATATAATGTATGTTAGCAAGATACCTTGTTTATTTTCGCTATGTATGTCAACCTACTATTATATTTTATCATAATCATCATATATAAAATGCCTATATTATCCTAATATTCAAGATTACATGTCCTTATTAAAATACAAAAATACAGTATATAATATGGAAATTCTTTGGTTGGATACACACATTGCCAAGTACATTACCTATTTTAATTATAGGCATTTTACTATTATTCGTTGTATTTTGCAGTTATCATCCTCCTCATCATCATTATCATTATTATATTTATTAATATAATTATTTACAGTCACATTTTATTTTCTATTAAAATGCAAACACCTTGACCTATCCATTATGCAATTGGCTAAGTGTGCCTGTAGTACCCACCCTTATATATAGACACGTCCACCACATATTAGACTGTACTTGAACAGGCGAGATCTCCATTCACATTTTTTTTTGTTCACAAGTTCAGTCTTAACACTTTGTGTCCCTTACGCGCAGTGTCCCCTCTGATGACTCAAAACCGAAGCTAAATGATATCATTAGTTAAGCCGATGTGTCCCTTTGTCTGTCAACGTAACGGATAGGTCCGATGGGTAATGTCGGTACGTGATGAGGCCTCGTCTTTGACAATCCAACAGTATTTCCTACCTCATCAAGATTGGTTAGTAACTATTCTTAATTGAATGCAATTAAGATGTCTATAAAACTATATAGGCCTAGAACTACAAAGAAATACTTTTTTTTTTATCAGTGTGAATCATATTGAATGAAACATGTTGTGGCAAATTCCAAAATTACCGACATCGAATTTCAGAATTAGTTGATATAATTAATCTATTTATAGAAGTTATACAGTATACCAACAGACAATATTAGACAATTTAAAATGTAAAGGTAGTCTCGTATCCATTACGGTCCTTGAACGTGAAAGAAATGAGCTGTTAGTCCACTGCATTAAGGCTCGGCATTTTGTGGTGGGGTGGCCTGTTCCATTCCACGCCACCTTTTTCTTCCCCAGCAGTGAACCACTGGATAATCATTTATACTCCTGGGTGGAGAGACAAAAGTAGATAAAGTGCCTAGTCAAAGAATACAGGCGAAATGCACAGCAAACGTTCGAACGGAAGAGAGACCGAAACGAACTGCTGCGGCAACCGCTCCCACATTTAAGCGAAATCCCACATTACGTTGAGGAATCTAACCCTAGAAGTATTTGCAACATAAAATTAATTACTGTATTACTGAGCTACTGAATGGTTCAACTCTTAAAAAATTTCAAAAATTATTAAATACTTATTGGTGAAAGCCGGTCATATGTTACTGTCATGAGTGTTTCTCGTTTTGAGCAATTTATTTATGTGGTTTTTCAATTGCTTTCTTCTAAAAATGCGTTAATTGATTTGCATTAATTAAAACAAATTCTGAATCATCTGAATAGTAACAACTAACGAAATCCAAAAATTAATTTCTCAAATGAAAATAATCTAGGCCTACTAAGAGTTGGTATCCATTGTAACATTTGTTTGAAGACCACTCGAGTTATGTTACCGGCAATTACTAACAGTTGAATAGACACGAAATCCACTTGGTTGCCCGTGTTCTGAATAAAATAACCTGGATTAGGTTTGTTGTGGGACGGAAGGACAATAAGCCTAAATCATCCTTGTAAACATTCCCAACAATCAAACTTTACAATCGGTTGTATCTCCAATGACAAGTTCTTGCGGTAATACACATTTGTTATGGCGATATTTATGTCAGTACAAACGAATATGAAAAGCAGATTTAATTATCTTTGCTGGTGCTTTAGTTTAAAATCATTCAACTGCTATCCGTTTCACACAATTTGAAAAAAAAATCCATGAAACTAAGATTTTCACTTCTAGCCCTCTTGTCGAAACAAGTGTGTAAATTCATTAAAACATGAAATTCATGATGTAATTTTATGTTTTCAAACCAGATATAATTTTAAAGGACTAAATTTTAAACAGAATTTGATGGCCTAGTTATGGTTACATATTATTGAATAATTTTCAATACAATGATTTTATTTTGTTTAAGACAAAAAATAGAAATAGGCCTAATATAAATGTTATTATCCGAATGCCTGCGAAACCGCGCATAGTTCTATTATATCTATTGAATGGGTTTATTTCAACATAAACAGTACAGACCCGTAGGCCAGACAGATTTGCGTAATGAAGAATCTACAGTATATACAACTATAAGTCTAAACGATGCATTTGTATCTCGTGATTGCACCTGTGCAAAATTGTTCCAGTTGAGGCCAGAAATTCCAACTGTGATCATCTTCCAACCGTCACCTGATTATAACTCCAAATAATGACCAACTGCGGGAGGTAGAGCAATAGTCTTGCCACATACACTCAACATATATATTCGGATAACGAAATAAGTCGAGCTCAACGCAAGGATTACACCAAAAATACACCGTATATTAAATAGTAGAATTTGAAACATTATCGTAATAAAGAGTGGCTGTACAGAAGCATCAAATACTTGAATAGGCCTACTATACTAGTTTATGTTTCATAACTAAGACCAACTACTATGCATAGTATAAGCTTAGTTTGATGTAATAAAAGTATAATAATGGTCTGAATATTAGGCCTATATATAAATGTTCCACGCCTGTACTTAGAATTAAATGTTGCCACAGATTTCACAACCTAGTTGATCTAATACCAGGCCTAGGCCTATTTTAAATTTCAGCAATTTATAACTTTAAGCGAATTGCATTTAAGTCAATTCCTCATTAACTTTAAGGCCACTTGTCGAGCCCTTTAAATGACCATTTTTACGTACGTATTCTTCGGAAAACAAATTTGGTTTATAATTTAGCAAGAAATATTTGGACAAGACGGAACGGTTAGTCGCTGTAAACCATTAGTGAACCTCTCGTTGAATTCACTGAAACGAGACGAACATGACTCTGTGGCCGAACTTCATATTTTCCTGTAAAATCCTTAAATTGAATTAAATTATACTGTTTTAGCAGTATACACGGTATTGCCTCGCCGGGCACGTTCAATGCTTGTAAATGAAGAGGAGTAAGAACTTAGGCAAACTTGGAGGTTGTTTAAAGATGAAACGAGGAGGAAACTTCTAAACGCATCAATCACCGACATATACCTAATGAAGCACGATTGTATCTTTAATTTATATCAAACAGAATTGGATATGTTTTAGATTCTAGCGTTTAATTACCTCAGTTATCAAAACAACATTATTACTCGGGAAGGAAGTTAATTTGACACAAAACGCCATGAAGCAGAGTACAAAGATAGTACCTTCTAGGAATATTGTTTTCGTAAATGTGTATTTCTCTCTTCATTTTCAACAAAAATGTTCAGTTAATGCTAGTGATTAAATACTAAAAATAACGTTTAAATTAAGCTTAACTCATTTCTTTGTTTATTCAAGTTTGTTATTGGTGGAGATGATCGAGTTCAGCAACACTATGCATACATATTATTGAAATAAAATTTTGCAACCTTCTCATTATTCCTTGCTAAATCCTACTTATTTGTCTCTGCCGAATTGCATGATCTATTATACGTTTCTGTAAGCTAAATTAATGAATTTCACAAGATACAAATTTTTAGAATATTCTATATGACAATTAAATGAGAACGCAATATCTGCTCCCGTATTTTGGATGGAATTATGTCCGATGTTCGTGACAAAACGCAAAGGAAGAGTCTGCATTGGAAATCTCTTAAGTGGTCGTTTCGGTTCAGCATGCATGTAACTGCCCAAAATGTTCATGTTTACGTCCACATCACATATTCCTAAATTGCCCAGGAGTAAAACAGCTAGTTGAATTACTCAAAGACACAATTGAGCACAATATACAAATTTGTGCTTTTCTTTCATATTATAATTTAAAGTTTGTTCACTCAAAAGAGTCGTAGCTACCCAGATAAAAAATCGATTAAATATTTTGCAGTAAACCGCTTGTGAGAATGGTGAAACTCTGTTTCAAAACATTTTTTCAAATATAAAAATGTAGTTATGAAATTATTTTATTAAATGATAAAGTCTGCTGCCATCTTTCAAAGTTCATACGCTCAAGATGTTCATAGTGTTATTTTTGACACTGTCTATCACGGGTCTTGTCAACCCCGAATCCCGCCTGGCAATTGTGTGCTTTGCCTGTGCACCCTGTCAGGTCAATCTAAGGTGGTGTTCAGTTGCAACAACATGGTGCGAAGTTCGGTTCAATGTCTGGATGACTC